AACACCTCCCTCTCATCCCCCCTCCCCCCATCTTCCTCGACCGGCGCCGCTTTGCCGTCGAACAGCACGACTTTAACCTGCTCCCTCCTCAACACCACCCCGCCCCTCGCCCTCCGCTCCTCGACATCTTCCCAGCTCGTCGGCTCCCGATCCAAGGCCGGCACCGCGCCGGATAACAAAGCGTGCAGCATCCGCGACCGGTCGCGGACGTCCCAGTCCAGATCGTACCGCGCGAGCTTGAACGTGTGGCGCGCGAGGGACAGGACGGGCTTCGAGATGGGCGAGAGGACGAGCAGCTTCGCGGCGAGCGTCAGCACTTGCAGCTTGACGGGCGAGGGCGAGGCGCGGAAGGAGCGGACGCCGCGGCGGAGGACGTCCGGGGCCCACTCTACGATGCCCTCCGCGGCAAGCGTATCGCCCGTACGAGTGGCATCGGCCGCGTGTTGGCCGACGAGCCAGAAGACGCATGCGCGTGCAGACGGGTGCGTGATGTCGTCCAGCCTCTGCGCGAGCTTTTCGACGATCCCGCCTCCGGCTCCTACACCGATGGAAGACGAGGACTGGGTCTGGACGAGCGACTTGAGCACGAGGACGGACGCTGATACGATGGCGGGCGCTGAAGAGTCCAGGAGCCGCATTAGGGCGGAGAGACATTGGGACGACGAGGAGGGCGCGAGGCGCGCGATGTGGCCTATTCCGTGCACGGCGGAGGAGGCGAGGGGGGTTGAGTGGTCGGAGGCGTAATCCTGTGCAGTCGTTCAGTATTAGTGGAGAGGTAGGCAGGGAGGGGGGACACACGATGAACTCGCGGAGGAGCGCCTGGTGGTTGTCGGGCGAGACGCATGAGCGCAGGAGTTGCATTTTGACGAGCTTGACGGGTTCGGTGTCGGAGGAGAGGACGATGAAGCGGGTCCAGTGTGCGGCGAATAGTTCCTATACTGAACGCATCAGCGGCGTATCACGATCTATAGGCAGTATACCCACAGGTGATGTGTGGGAAATATGCAATATATATTCCAGCACGACGCGTTCGGCCTCTGGACTGATATCCAGTAACCTTAACATCGGGCTGACGATCTTGCTGTGTTCTTCCGGTAGAGCGCAGTAGCGTATTGTACGCGCGACTGCCACCACCACGGCAGGGTTGCACGACTGGAAGAGTGGTTCTGCGGACTCCACGAGTAATGCCAGATCGGGGTCGACGTCCCCCGGAGACGGCCGTGGAAGCATCGTGCGTGCATAGCGCACAAGCAGATCAAGTAAGACCGGTTGACCCCATTCCTCCGCATCGAGAAGCGCAGCACATAGCCTGCGGTAGACAGGATGTAACAAGTCCAACCGCGTGGGTACAAGCGCCTCGAAAGCGACAGCTGCAGATCCAAGAACAAGAGGCGATCGATCGCGGAGGAGCGTCTCGAGCACGGCGAGCAGCGCGGGTAGATGCGAGTCGTCCAGCGCGTAACATTTGGATATGGCCAGTGCCGCGTTCTTACGAACATAAGGCGACGGATCGCTCGCGGACTTTTTGATCGCGAGCACGACGAGCGAGCCGATGCTCGGGACCGGTATACCCGCGAGCACGCGCAGCGCCATAGCGCGTATAAGCGGGCTGCCGTCCGACAGGTCCCGCTGGAACGTGTTGATGCTCAACAGCGCCAGATCCGGCTCGACGTCCGCGTATCGCAGTATATAAATGTACACCAGCTTGCGCACTTCGACGTTGGGGACCGCGACGTTCTTGACGACCTGCGCGAAGAACTCGCTCGCGTCGCGGCCCTTGGACATGAGCGCCAATAATCGCTTTAGAGCTTCGAGCTTGTCGCGGTCGGAGGACGAGTCGAGCTGTTTGCGGATGAGCTTCACTTTGTCGTCGCCGGTGTCGAAGTAGGCTGCGGCGCCGGGGCGGGCGAAGGGCAGGTCGCGTGCGTGCTCGGAGAGCGATTCTTGCAGGCGTTGGCCCAGCCGCGTCGCGTTCTCGGCGAAGGCGTTGAAGTCGAGCCCGGACATTCTGTCCCACGACGCCTCCAGCGTAGATTATATTCGAGTAGAGTGATGAAAGCAGGAGACAAGCCTAAAGCAGCATGATCTGCCATGACGCGCTTCTATCATCGCGCGCATCCGTCAACTCTAACTTAGTCTTCTCCCACCATGTCCATCACCGCTTGACCGTTATGTCCGAAGACCTACCATTGACGATGCCAACCGAGACATCGCGGTCCTTACAAACGCCTATGACGTCGAGAAAGGGCATACTCCGCGCGACGGTCGACGTCCCCGCCGCACGCGCTGATTCGAGCGCGCGGCGGGGTCCGAGCCGGTGGAGAACGCCGGAGTTCTATGTTTATTATGTGGTGTTTGCGGCGGCGGTGCCGTGGATGGTGTGGGTGCCTTTGCGGCTGAGCTCTAGTATGTGGTCGCGGTACTTTGCTTTGGATATTTGCTAATGTACTGTAGCTGAACACGCGAACTACCACTGGTTCGCGCCCAGACTCGCCCGCAGCTGGCTCGGGCTCAAGTTCGTACGTCGCCACAGTACACTTGCTCTTACAATATACTGAATCAGGAATATAGGACAACAGCGATGTGCAATACCGCTCCTTCCGCTCGAACATCCCCGCCCTTCTCGCCTTCGCCTCGGCCTTCTTCGCCCTCAAACACCTCTACCTCCGCCTCGCCCGGCCCTCGCCCTCCCTCTCCAAAAGCAACACGCACCTCCTGCCCTTCTACCTCGCCTTCAGCCTCACCATGCTCCTCGCGCTCCACGGCACGAGCGCTTTAAAGATCCTCCTGATCTTATCCGGCAACTACGCCATCTCGACCCTGGGGAAGGGCAAGCGATGGGTGCCGGGCGCGACGTGGGTGTACAATATGGCCGTGCTGTTTGCGAACGAGCGGTATGGGGGGTACCGGTACGCCGCGCTGCACTCAGAGCTGGGATTCCTGGTGCGTTGAATGGCGTTGTGTGTGGTGTCGTTTGGCTGCTGAACTCACGGGTGAAGGACAGCTTCTCGGGCGCGTATCCGCGGTGGCATGTTACGTTCAATATCACCATGCTTCGGCTCGTTTCGTTCAACATGGACAGCTATTGGGCGCATCGACGGACTGGGTTGCCTGATGTGCGTTCCTCGACTTACTCATTATAGTATTTGTGGGACTGAACGTCTGAAGTCAGGTGCAGCGTTGAATCCGAAACAGCGTACGACCACCTACCACGGACTTGAGGCGTACTCCTTCGCCAACTACCTCGCATACGCTCTGTACCCCCCACTATACATCGCCGGACCGATCATGACGTTCAACGACTGGTTCTGGCAGGTCAGCTCTTTTCAACTCCTCCACCGCGGCGGCCCGTTGACCGGCAAATAGCTCCAACGCCCGCTCCCGATCTCCTGGCCCGCAACCCTCCGCTACACCCTCCGCTTCCTCTTGACCCTCACCCTGATGGAAACCCTAATCCACACCCTCTACGTCGTCGCCATCAAAGACGCCCACGCCTGGAACGCCGACACACCTCCGGAGCTCGCGATGCTAGGATTCTGGAATCTCATCGTCGTATGGCTGAAGCTGCTGCTGCCGTGGCGGTTCTTCCGGGCGTGGGCGATGGGCGACGGGGTGGACGCGCCGGAGAATATGGTGCGGTGCATGGCTGATAATTATTCGGCGCTGGGGTTCTGGAGGGCGTGGCATCGGTCGTACAATCTTTGGATCGTTCGGTGCGTTCTCCCTTCTCCCTCCCCCTCCCCCCTCTCTCTCTGCGCAAACACAAGAATCTCATGCGATGTTGGGCAGGTACATATACGTGCCTCTAGGAGGAGGACTGCGCGCGTACGCCCTCGTATTCACGTTCGTCGCGCTCTGGCACGACCTCAGCATGCGTCTGCTCGCGTGGGGCTGGCTCGCGACGCTCGTGCTCGTGCCCGAAGTCACAGCGCGCAAGATATTCCCAGCCACAAAGGTACACTCTCCCGTTCTCCTTCCCCACTCCATAAGTCTGACGCGCACGGCAGTACGGCTCCGAGCCCTGGTACCGCCCGCTCAGCGCCCTCGGCGGCGTGGCAAACATCCTCCTGCTCATGAGCGCGAACCTGGTCGGCTTTGTGCTCGGCGTCGACGGGTTCGCGTATCTTTCGACACAAATTGCTTCGACGTGGGAGGGGTGGGCGTACGTCCTCTTTATCATTCACTACGATGTTGGGCAGGGCGGCTGATACAGTGGACAGGTTCATGGGGATGGCGTGTGCGGGGCTGTTTGTGGGCGTTATGGTTATGTTTGAGTATAGGTGAGCTTGGATCGAGTACATGAATACATATTGGAGGCTGATGAGGTTTAGGGAGGAAGAGGCGCGGCAGGGGATCGATCGGAAGTGCTAGTCGCTGAGGACCTTTGGACATTGATTGGTCTGGATTACGATACCCTTGTCGGAATCAACTCTCACTTGCAGTACTGTCTGTGGACGATGGACGAGAGACATACTCGCCACAAGACGAACTTTTTGGAAGTAAACTTGTCGGTGACCGCTATCGTCTACGTAACCTGGATCTACTTAGAGTATAGATAGAGTGCGTACTGGTGGAGTGGGAGGAGAGGAGGAGAGGAGCGAGAGAGCGAGAGGCTTGAGAGAGCGCTTGCTTAGTCATAGAGTCGCGTCTTACTTAGGCGCCGCATGTTCGTAGCTACTAGAGGCATCACCGACTTACGAGGGCACCTTCTGCATACTTGAGGCATCGTGCCTGGCCTTTTTGCTGTGGCGCCCTTTCGGCGACAACCCCTACGTTAGGGTTACGGTCGTATGTATCGCGCGTCTTCACTCTCCCCACCAACTACACGGCTACACCTTTCAATACATATCTCTCCTTTCTCTCTTCCCGTTTCATTCTCTTCGCATAGCCCTTAAGAGGTCCTTGCTTCGATCTCACCAACTCCCGGGTCATGCTCGACTTGAAGGTCCTTTCTCCTTCGCGCGGGCTGTTGCCCGTCCATTCATGCCGATTTTACTTATACGCCTGAAGATCAAGCGTTCAAGAAGGCCAAAGCTACGACCATCTACGATGGGTCGATGTGTATTGCCAGAATCGATGGTAATGGTACGCGTGCGTAGAGATAGAGATAAATGCCACAGGCAACTCGAGAAATCAAGACACGGGGGGATATTCACAAGCCAAGCACGAGCGGGGGTGAGAGCGAGCAGTTGGCGGAAAAGTAACATACGAAGGATCGGAGGGCAAGGGCAAGGAGGGAGGCTAGCGGTGTTAAGACAGTTATGAGGCAGGGCGTGGGTCGGGCATTGAGGGAGGCGGGGGAGCAGCGGACGTTGATGGATGGAGGGAGGAGTGGAACCTGGAACGAGTCGGTTGAGGAAAGCAGTAAGACGAAGACGGGACGAGGCGAGGCGAGTGGACGCGGGCGGAATGGAATGAAGGTGTGTGAGTGTGAGGTCGTATTACGCGTGCATCTTGTGGAGGCGGGGCAACGCGCGGTGTGTATGGGTAAGGAGGGAGCGGACTGTGTGTGTTG